CAACAAGCAGCCATCATAGAGTCACAACCAGTGGGAGAGGGTCCCAGCTCAAAAGTGGCCAAAATGACGTGCGCTGACATGCTGCAATACCACCCCGGGCCGATGGGGGTGGACCCTGAAGTAGAATAAGCCAATGCTAACATATAGCGTTGGCAGACCTCTCAAAAACGTCTTTACAGGATGGACCAAACGTTGGCTCTTGGCCCAAAGCTCCGTTCCACATGTGTGTCAATGCTGAGGGGGGTGTTTTGGTCCACTCTAGTTTACTTGCTGTGAATTTTTGAAGTCTCTCGTTCAAATGAATGGATCTGCGCCGGCTGACGCATGCACAGATGCGCATGTCACAACAAGCAGACGTCATAGAGTCACAACAAGCAGACATCATAGAGTCACAACAAGCAGACGTCATAGAGTCACAACAAGCAGACATCATAGAGTCACAACAAGCAGACATCATAGAGTCACAACAAGCAGACGTCATAGAGTCACAACAAGCAGACATCATAGAGTCACAACAAGCAGACATCATAGAGTCACAACAAGCAGACGTCATAGAGTCACAACAAGCAGACATCATAGAGTGACAACAAGCAGACATCATAGAGTCACAACAAGCAGACATCAGAGTCACAACAAGCAGACATCATAGAGTCACAACAAGCAGGCATCATAGAGTCACAACAAGCAGACGTCATAGAATCACAAGCAGACATCATAGAGTCACAACAAGCAGACATCAGAGTCACAACAAGCAGACATCATAGAGTCACGACAAGCAGACGTCATAGAGTCACAACAAGCAGACGTCATAGAGTCACAACACGCAGACATCATAGAGTCACAACAAGCAGACATCATAGAGTCACAACAAGCAGACGTCATAGAGTCACAACAAGCAGACATCATAGAGTCACAACAAGCAGACATCAGAGTCACAACAAGCAGACATCATAGAGTCACAACAGACATCATAGAGTCACAACAAGCAGACATCATAGAGTCACAACAAGCAGACATCATAGAGTCAGACATCATAGAGTCACAACAAGCAGACGTCATAGAGTCACAACAGACATCATAGAGTCACAACAAGCAGACATAGAGTCACAACAAGCAGACGTCATAGAGTCACAACAAGCAGACATCATAGAGTCACAACAAACAGACATCATAGAGTCAGAACAAGCAGATATCATAGAGTCACAACAAGCAGACGTCATAGAATCACAGCAGACATCATAGAGTCACAACAAGCAGACATCATAGAGTCAGACATCATAGAGTCACAACAAGCAGACGTCATAGAGTCACAACAGACATCATAGTCACAACAAGCAGACATCATAGAGTCACAACAAGCAGACAACATAGAGTCACAACAGACATCATAGAGTCACAACAAGCAGACGTCATAGAGTCACAACAGACATCATAGAGTCACAACAAGCAGACATCATAGAGTCACAACAAGCAGACGTCATAGAGTCACAACAAGCAGACGTCATAGAGTCACAACAGACATAATAGAGTCACAACAAGCAGACATCATAGAGTCACAACAAGCAGACATCAAAGAGTCACAACAGACATCATAGAGTCACAACAAGCAGACATCATAGAGTCACAACAGACATCAGAGTCACAACAAGCAGACATCATAGAGTCACAGCAGACATCATAGTCACAACAAGCAGACATCATAGAGTCACAACAAGCAGACATCATAGAGTCACAACAAGCAGACATCATAGAGTCACAACAAGCAGACGTCATAGAGTCACAACAAGCAGACATCATAGAGTCACAACAAACAGACATCATAGAGTCACAACAAGCAGACATCATAGAGTCACAACAAGCAGACGTCATAGAATCACAAGCAGACATCATAGAGTCACAACAAGCAGACGTCATAGAGTCACAACAAGCAGACATCATAGAGTGACAACAAGCAAACGTCATAGAGTCACAACAAGCAGACATCAGAGTCACAACAAGCAGACATCATAGAGTCACAACAGACATCATAGAGTCACAACAAGCAGACATCATAGAGTCACAGCAGACATCATAGAGTCACAACAAGCAGACGTCATAGAGTCACAACAGACATCATAGAGTCACAACAAGCAGACATCATAGAGTCACAACAAGCAGACGTCATAGAGTCACAACAAGCAGACGTCAAAGAGTCACAACAAGCAGACATCATAGAGTCACAACAAGCAGACGTCATAGAGTCACAACAGACATAATAGAGTCACAACAAGCAGACATCATAGAGTCACAACAAGCAGACATCAAAGAGTCACAACAGACATCATAGAGTCACAACAAGCAGACATCATAGAGTCACAACAGACATCAGAGTCACAACAAGCAGACATCATAGAGTCACAGCAGACATCATAGAGTCACAACAAGCAGACATCATAGAGTCACAACAGACATCATAGAGTCACAACAAGCAGACATCATAGAGTCACAAGAAGCAGACGTCATAGAGTCACAACAAGCAGACATCATAGAGTCACAGCAGACATCATAGAGTCACAACAAGCAGACGTCATAGAGTCACAACAAGCAGACGTCATAGAGTCACAACAGACATCATAGAGTCACAACAAGCAGACATCATAGAGTCACAACAAGCAGACATCATAGAGTCACAACAAGCAGACGTCATAGAGTCACAACAAGCAGACGTCATAGAGTCACAACAATCAGACATCATAGAGTCACAACAAGCAGACGTCATAGAGTCACAACAAGCAGACGTCATAGAGTCACAACAGACATCATAGAGTCACAACAAGCAGACATCATAGAGTCACAACAAGCAGACATCATAGAGTCACAACAGACATCAGAGTTACAACAAGCAGACATCATAGAGTCACAGCAGACATCATAGAGTCACAACAAGCAGACATCATAGAGTCAGACATCATAGAGTCACAACAAGCAGACTAGGGATGTAAAAAACTATGAATTTTCATGACCGACCACCGAGCCTCATTAACCGGTTGAAACCGGTTAACCGCGTAGTTTAAAATAGTCCACGTTCTTTGAAATAACAGCCATTTCGAGCTGCGTACTTTTCATAAGTGCAGCTGAGCGTTCTACTGGATCAGAGCCGAGACAGCGGCACCAAAACCCGTAACAGCTTCGGCACCTTTGCGCACAGAGAACTGCTGTTTTAAATTTCCCATTCTTCTGTGCTGCGGCTTAAAGCATTTTTAAGCAAAAGACAGCTCGTCCACATGGTCAGAGCAGCGAGTGACGAGCCGTGTCTCGCAGGTCTCCGCTAAAGTTTAAAAGTGATCAGTGTGGAGCTGATGCCAAGGACCAGCAGCACAAACATGGTCCATGTGTGTGGAGCTGATGCCAAGGACCAGCAGCACAAACATGGTCCATGTGTGTGGAGCTGATGCCAAGGACCAGCAGCACAAACATGGTCCATGTGTGTGGAGCTGATGCCAAGGACCAGCAGCACAAACATGGTCCATGTGGTTTGACTGGAGCCACTGGAGCCGTGTATTTGCAAGAATGTTTTGGGCTGCGTGACAGAGGAGCGCGGCAGACCGGTATGTGTAAACCGTCGGCGGGGGATACAGTTGTACAGTGTAGAGGACAATCTTGAGGTCATGATATCCAGTGAAATTAGTCGCACACGCCCAAAATAAACATTTTTACAGTAAAAAGTTACAGAATCAAGAGTGACATGTTTTGACAATTTTGAGAGTATATTGTACCAAATGGCTACTTTACCTCAATATTCTCTCAATATTCTACAGTAAGAAAGTTTCTGGTCTTTGGTACAGGGGCAGAGGACAATAATAAAGTCATGAGTCAAGTGAAATTATCGCACACCTTATCCAGTAATAGTTAAATACCTGAAAATTGCACTAGCGACCAAATATGTGTACTTTATATATGTAAACAATAGAGTGGCTATCCACCTGAGGAACTCCACAATCAGCCGGAGGAATCGTCAGGGGCTGTGCTAAGTGGGCCGGGTGGATCTCTATAAGGTATTTAATCTCAAAAACGTGTCTCCTGACCCCAGCCTCTTTCTGTTTCGATAAAAATCGGTGACTCCGAAATGACGTCCAGCTGTTACCTGTAAGTCACAACAAACGAGGTATCTTTGGACCAAAATGGCTACTTTACCAAAATAATTCTCAATATTTCCTACAGTAAAAGTTTCTGGTCTCTGGTACATGGCAGAGGGCAAGTAATAAGGTCATGAGTCAAGGAAATTAGTCGCACACCTTATTCCAGTAAATAGTTACAATACATGAAAATTGCACTAGCGGGACGCAAGAATTGTGTACTTTATACATGTAAACAATAGAGTGGCTATCCTCCTGAGGACTCACAATCTGTCCGGAGGAAAATCGTAGGGGCTGGTGCTATGTGTGCCGGTTGCATCTCTATAAGGTTTTAATCACAAAAACGTGTCTCCCTGACCCCAGCGCGCTTTCTGTTTCGATAAGGAAAAGGTGACTCCGAAAGAACGTTCCGCTGTTACCCTGTAAGTTCTCAACAAAACGCGCACCTTCTTTTCCCCGCAGCTGCCGCATGTTCATAGAGCTGAAGATGCGGTGCCCACTTTACCGCGGTAAATTAATAGACACAGCTGTCTTACAACGATGATCGCTGATGGAGACGGTGACACGCGGTGTGCCCGAAGGGGAGGGGCTGTGTGTGTTGTAGGTCTCTGTATGTGGAGAGACCGTAGCTTGACGTGAGAGTTACGAATGGCCGCCACATTTTAAACCCCCTCCCCCCGGCTGTCAAATTGACCGCGTGCCGGCGGCACTATACATAAAGGGGGGGGGGGGGGGGGGGGGGGGGGGGGGGGGGGGGGGGGATTTTTAAACGGGGGGGGGGGAAAAAGAAAATGTGGGGGGGGGGGGTGGTTAATGGAAAATTAAAAAAATATATATTATAATATTATAGGGGGGTTTGGATTATATTTGGGGAATTTTTATTTTATGATTTTTTTTGTTTTTTTTTTGGTTTGTTTTTTGGGGGGGGGGGGGGGGGGGGGGGGGGGGGGGGGGTGGGGGGGGGGGGGGGGGGGGGGGGGGGGGGGGGGGGGGGGGGGGGGGGGGGGGGGGGGGGGGGGGGGGGTTGTTTTTGTGGGGGGGGGGGGGGGGGGGGGGGGGGGGGGGGGGGGGGTTTTGTGGTGTGTTGGGGGTTTGTAGGTTATTTTTTTTGTGGGTGTGTTGTTGGTTTTAGATTGGGGGGAGGAGGGAGAGTGAGGGGGAGGGGAGAATATGGTGAGTGGGGGGGGTTTATAGGAGGGATAAAGGGTGGGTATGTAAGTTGAAATTGTTATAATGTAAGTAGGGGTTGATGGGGGGGGTTTAGGGATGGAGGGGGGGAGGGGGGGAGGGAAGTGGGGTATGGTAGGAGTGGTGTGTGATTGTGGGAAGTAGGGATGGTGGTATTGTAGAGGTAGGGGTGTGAATTGGGGGGTAGTGGTTGGGATAATGGGAGAGGGGGGTATAATGGGAAGGTAGTGGTGTGTAGTGTAATTGTAGTGTTTTTATGTGTTATGGAAGGGTGTATGGATGGAGTGTTAGTTAAATGGTGTTTAAAAGGTAAGGTGATGTGTTAAGTTATTTAAATGAATGTGTGAGAGTTAATAGATATGATAGGTGAGGGTTATTGAATGTATGTTTTGTTTAAAGTATGTGATATAGGGGTGTGTTATTGGGATAAGGATATAAGAGTTTGTCATAGCGTGTCACACAGAGACAGTGCACTTCATAGTCAAAACATGGATACACATCAAGAGTCATTGTACAGTCTTTCTCCAATACAGTGGTCAGTGCACTCCTCTTCACTACATTGAATTGAATACCTGGCCTCCTCCATCTACACCTGCGGACTGCCCGCCCGACCCGCCTGGGAGTGCTTCAGTCCTGCACCGGACCTGTCCACGTTCAGCGGCCACTGGTCCACGTTCTGTAGCTAGCTTAGGTCCTGGATCATTAGCCTGTCCGTCCGGAGGAGCGGTTCCCTTTCTCAAATGGGTCTCCCTCCCTGTGGGTTTCCCTAGTTCTCCCCAAGGTTTCTCACTTTTTCCCACTGGGTTTTTTAAGAGTTGTTCCTTGTCGATGCAGGAGGGTCTTGTTGGACAGTTAGTGTCCAACAGAAAGGATTGGTGATGATCAGGACACGCCCCAACTATAGATGAGGTCAGTGATATAATAATGAGTGAGGAGTGGTTGGACCTGCACTCCACTCCAGCACTCAGCAGACAATAGGTCTGTGAAATATTAGCAATCTTTGTCGAGAAGGAAAAGTGAATGGACTTAATTTACAAGTCCAGGTAAGAACAGCACAAGCTCCAGTCTGAGGTTTGTGTTAAATGTGGAAGAACGTGCTTCTCCATCACACGTCTCTCAGCGCCACCGGAGTGGACACGGTTTAGAATTATTTGTGTTTAATTGTACGTCTATACCGGTGAGACGTGTGTTTTATAGCCTGCAGTGTTTGAATAATTTACTATTATTCTGAAGCCTGCTGGTGATTCGGGCTCATTCACATCATACGCACATGTCTCTGTGAGCGGGAAAAAAGTTAAAGAGAGAGAGAGAGAACTATTATTCACTATGATACCAGTATTTATATTTGTAGCTTGTTCATGTTCAAAGCCTCATGAAGCCTTCGATCGCCGTTTGTGAAGTCTGCGTCTCTCCTCTACTTTACTTTTTGCTCTGGGTTGTACTATCTACTCTTGGTGCACACTGGGGCCTATTACACTGTATGTTTTATTTAGAGCTGGGACTCCATAAAAATAAAAACATTAATTAATTAGAGGCTTTGTGATTAATTAAGAGCATTTTAATTGCATATAAATATTTGACCTGAGAACAGTGAGAAGTAATTTTTTTCACATGGATTTTTTGTTTATTATTGAAGAATGACTGAATACATAAGCTTAAGCAACACATGTTAATTGTGGATGATAAGGGGATCAGACGGACTTCTTTCCATCACATAACGTATCTGTCATCGCCTCCACACACTCTGTCCACAACATACGCTTTTCATGCCCAAAATCCTCTGCTCTCGAAGTGAGCAGTAAAGCAGGGCGAGCGCTGTTTGCTAAAGCTTTTATAATACGTTTTTGATGTATACATTCGGACTAAAATCAGAAATGTATAGCAGCTCACACCTGTGTCTCGCTCCTCCTCCTTCGCCTCCTCCTCTTCACACACAGAGTCCATCGCTCCACACACAGCTCTCTTTCCCGTCTCTAACTCACTCAGATTTAGACACCACTAAAGTTAGTCTATGCTTGTTATAATGTACAGTGGGGCAAAAAAGTATTTAGTCAGCCACCGATTGTGCAAGTTCTCCCACTTAAAATAACGACAGAGGTCTGTAATTTTCATCATAGGTTCACTTCAACTGTGAGAGACAGAATGTGAAAAAAAATTATGGTGGAAAATAAGTATTTGGTCACTTCAAACAAGGAAGATCTCTGGCTCTCACAGACCTGTAACTTCTTCTTTAAGAAGCTCTTCAGTCCTCCACTTGTTACCTGTATTAATGGCACCTGTTTGAACTCCTTATCTGTATAAAAGACACCTGTCCACAGCCTCAAACAGTCAGACTCCAAACTCCACTATGGCCAAGACCAAAGAGCTGTCGAAGGACACCAGGAAAAGAATTGTAGACCTGCACCAGACTGGGAAGAGTGAATCTACAATAGGCAAGCAGCTTGGTGTGAACAAATCAACTGTGGGAGCAATTATCAGAAGACCACTGATAATCTCCCTCGATCTGGGTCTCCACGCAAGATCTCATCCCGTGGGGTCAAAATGGTCATGAAAACGGTGATCAAAAATCCCAGAACCACACGGGGGGACCTGGTGAATGACCTGCAGAGAGCTGAGACCAAAGTAACAAAGGTTACCATCAGTAACACACTACAACGACAGGGAATCAAATCCTGCAGTGCCAGACGTGTCCCCCTGCTGAAGCCAGTGCATGTCCAGGCCCGTCTGAAGTTTGCCAGAGAGCACATGGATGATACAGCAGAGGATTGGGAGAATGTCATGTGGTCAGATGAAACCAAAGTACAACTGTTTGGTATAAACTCAACTCGTCGTGTTTGGAGGAAGAAGAATACTGAGTTGCATCCCAAGAACACCATACCTACTGTGAAGCATGGGGGTGGAAACTTCATGCTTTGGGGCTGTTTTTCTGCTGAGGGGACAGGACGACTGATCCGTGTTAAGGAAAGAATGAATGGGGCCATGTATCGTGAGATTTTGAGCCAAAACCTCCTTCCATTAGCGAGAGCTTTGAAGATGAAACGTGGCTGGGTCTTCCAGCATGACAATGATCCCAAAGACACCGCCCGGGCATCGAAGGAGTGGCTCCGTAAGAAGCATTTGAAAGTCCTGGAGTGGCCTAGCCAGTCTCCAGACCTCAACCCCATTGAAAATCTGTGGAGGGAGTTGAAAGTCCGTGTTCACTGCTCTCGAGAAGATCTGCATGGAGGAATGGGCCAAAATACTAGCTACTGTGTGCGCAAACTTGGTAAAGACCTATAGTAATCGTTTGACCTGTTATTGCCAACAAAGGTTATATTACCAAGTATTGAGTTGAATTTTTGTTATTGACCAAATACTTATTTTCCACCATAATTCACAAATAAATTCTTAAAAAATCCTACTATGTGAATTCCTGAATTTGTTTTCACATTCTGTCTCTCACAGTTGAAGTGAAACTATGAGGAAATTACAGACCTCTGTCATTATTTTAAGTGGGAGAACTAGCACAATAGCAAACTATCTGAATGACGTCACTAAGACACGCCCCCCGCCGCCTGTCAACAGGTTGAATGTTACTTTCATATAGTCCTTTTCAGAGAATCTGAAATCGCTCCCTCAAGCACCATAACTGCAGTGTTTTGTTGTCACCATGTTTCAATGATTTAGCCCAAATAAATACACACGCGTATGTGGAGAACACAGTAGAACTCAACGGAGTCGGACAATGTTTGTCCGAAACATGCGCAGTCATCGGAGCTATTTTTAGCACATTTCGGAAACCGGACAGTGCCCAATCTGTGGCTGACTAAATACTTTTTTGCCCCACTGTACTTTTGAACAAAAAATGTCACGGAGCTTGAGTTGGTGCTCCAGTATAATCGGTCCGTCTGAAACTCATCCAGTAAGGAAAGTTCTGCGGTACAACGTCCCATACGATTAAAATGCGTCAATTGTTTTAACGCGCTAATTTTAGTGGCGTTAATGAATCTTAACGCGTTAAAGTCCCGGCCCTTGTTTTATTGCAAATGGCAAACAAACTGAATCTGATTGAGGTTCTGGAAGATGTCGGGTGATAGTGACGTCAGAGTCAGAAGCTGGATTTGTTGTGAGATCATTCAAAGCCGCTTGTTTTTATTACGTCTGTGGATGTTATTGCCTTGGCCCCTTCACCCGACTTCATGCTGTTTTTATTAGAATTTAAGGGCAGACATCTTGGAGACCAGGAGCAGAAAACTTGGGAGACCAGGAGCAGACATCTTGGAGACCAGGAGCAGAAAACTTGTATCGCCAGAGCTCGGTCTGCCTACATCTGCATCTCATTTGCTTTTCCGCCACACCCTCCTGTTTTTCCCTCTCACCGTCGTACAGCTGTCAATCTCCCTATTCCCCGACCCAAACTTGAGCTCGCTGGCTATACAAGCTGTTGAGAATATTTTGAGGCAAAGTTTTAAGTTGGAACGTCTCCTTCTCTGCACATATTTTATTAAAGAATGGAAAATACATTTACATTTTCACACACACAAACAGTCATTATGGGGACTCTAGGGAGTGTTTAGGTGTGTGGTTTGTGTGTGTGGTTGGATTGGACAAACATGTGTCTAGTTGTTGATTGTTGTACAGCTAAAGAACCACTAAAGACATCCCCGGGTCCTGGTCTTTTTAACCACACCCTCTGGTTCGACCCTATCTCTACTTCTGTGATCGTTGTCCTCACTTCTACAGAAACAGAGAGGATCAAACCAGTGGGAAATAGAACCGGTGCGTGTCCTGAAGTCCGCCGACTGCTCCAGGTTCACACCAGAACCAAGATGGCGGCAGCGTGTGTGGCCAGTCGCCTATCAGCTCTATGTCTCTCCGAAAATATGTCTCTGCTCGATTGGTCTACGATCGACAAAACTCTTCTTGATGTTCAAAATCAATCAATCTTTATTTGTAGAGCGCCTTTCATACACAGAGCAACACAAAGCGCTTCAAAGTCCACATCACACAAGGCAGAAATCATCACACAAAACAAACACCAGAATCACCATTTAAAACACGATAAAAAACATGAAAGCATTAAAATCACACAAGGAATTAAATAATAACCACAGTAGAGTCTTTAGTCAGAGTAGACGCCTCTCTTACATTTTCAGGAAGACTGT